ACTGAGAAAATTTAGGTTAAGCCCTGAACAGTTTCGGCAAAAGTTCGTTGATCATATTAAAACGTTGCGTAATACGTGGAAGGACTTCACGTTTGAATTAAAAAATTATTTTGAAGAGTGGCTTGCTAGATTAAATGTAACAGATTTTGACTCTTTAAAACAACTTATTATTACTGATCAATTAAAGAAGAGGGTCCCCGCTGCTATCCGAGACCATTTCATTGATGATTGGTCTAAATTCATTAATCCTGAAGAGTTGGCTGAAAAACTAGATGAATATGAAAATATTCGGGCAGGGATAAATGTATTTCAAGTAGAAAATAAAACTTTTAGGCATAATTTTAAGCCCAACTCTGGTTCTAAATTTTATGAAGGATCCTATAATCAGTATTCAAGACTAAGAAATGTTAACGATTCCATGCAGACAGATGGTAATTTCAAAGTGGGTTTTAAAAACAGTTTTGATAATAAATACAATCTGAGAGATAAATTTTATAAAACAGACGAAAGGAAAAGGGAATATAATTCTGGCATCCGCAATGAAAAGGGTGAGCCGAAATGCTTCAATTGTGATGATTATGGACATATAGCGACGGATTGTCCTCAGCCTAAAAAAGAAATTATTTGCAGGAAATGTAATGAAAAGGGTCATACTTTTAAAAAGTGTACGTCTAAGAATCCAGACTTGACAAATGTTAAAAATTATTTATCCGTGGACCAGAATTCAGGTGTTTCACCAGCTGTATATTTAAAGTATGCTCGCATCAATAATGGAGAAGAAATTACTGGAATCATAGATACGGGTTCTAGTTCGTGTTTATTGAAACAGTCTGCGGCTAAGAGACTGAATCTTATTGTAAAAACCTGATGTGGAGGAATTGTTTGGCTTTGGGAACCAGAAATAAACCAGCCGCTAGGACATTGGGAAAAGTAACTGTTAACTTAGAGATTGATAATGTGGAAGGAAAGGACATTACAGTTCTAATTGTAGGAGATGAAACGCAACCATGCGACTTATTAGTTGGTCGAACATGGATTGATTTACCGCATATTGCATACGCCAAGATAGGGAAATACCTTGCACATACGCTATGCTAATGACTGCCCATTTTCACAGTTGCAAATGATAGCAACACTCGGCGAATTAAACTGAAGGCTTCCCAAGAAACTCAAATCGAAAGTAATACGGTTAATTTCGTGAAAGTTAAAACTGATGAAACAAATAACGGTTATGTTTTAATAAGTGGATCGGAAGATGAGTTAGGCTCATTATTGGAAGTAATACAGGGAGAAACAGTGATACCAGTCACTAACTACAGCGATCGAAAACTAATTTTGAAAGAGAATCAATGTATCGGTAGAGCGGAAGTAGTAGAATTAGTTGAACCAAGTTCAGATCAGAAAACTGAAAATTCAAGTCAAAAGGTAATACTGATAATAAATGAAATTAAGAAGTTTAAGAGACCGATTACTTTAGAAGAAATTAAAGTTAATAACAATATTACGCCAGAGAGAAAACAGGAAGTTTTACATTTGATAAATGAGTATCGAGATTGTTTTGCATTAAATATGGAGGAATTAGGTTGTACAAACTTAACAAAAATGGATATTAAAGAAATTGAAGGTAGTAAGCCTATTTGCATGAAGTCGAATAAAACCAATGCCGAAGAGCATGCTTCTATAAAGAAGATAATAAATGAATGGAAGAAATATGGAATTGTTACTGAAAAAAGATCTCCGTATGCTATTCCAGTTTTACTCGTAAAGAAAAAAACAGGTGAATTACGATTAGTGATAGATTATAGAAAGTTGAATTCGCAAACTGTTAAAGATAAATTTCCACTCCCTAGGATAGATGATCTTCTTGAATGTCTTAGTGAGTGTAAAGTTTTCACTACATTGGACTTAGCTCATGGATATTTGCAGATTCCTTTAACTGAAGAAGCGAAACTGAAAACAGCTTTCATCACTCCAGATGATACTGGTCAATTTGAACGTATGATCTTTGGGGTTAGCTAATGCACCGGCAGAATTTCAGAGACTTATGAATCAAGTTTTAGGTCCATTGCTTAATAAGAAGTTTGTGCTATTTGGACGACATATTAATTCTGGCTAATCTTGGGAAGAAATGATGGAAAAAACTTAGGAAAGTGTTTGATAGATTGAGAGAAGCAATGCTGACATTGAAACTGACAAAATGCGAATTTGGAAAAGATGAAGTTGAGTATTTGGGATTTCTAATAAAATCAAATGGTATGCAACCTGGACCAAGAAAAGTACGAGCCATATTAAACTTTTCCTAAACCAACCAATGAACATGAAGTTAAATAATTTTTAGGTCTTACAAGTTTCTTTAGAAGGTTTGTACCGAAATACGCAGAGAAAGCTGAGCCGCTAACGAGACTGACGAGAAAGGATGAAACATTTCGTTGGAACGAAGATCAGCAAGAAGCATTCAGTACTTTAAAGGATCATTTAACTAATGAACCAATACTAGCATTATATAATCCCGAAGCAGAGACTGAAGTGCACACAGACGCGAGCAACAAAGGGTTGGCAGGAATGCTGCTGCAAAAAGGTGAAGATAGAAAGTGGCATTTAGTTTATTGTGTGAGTAAAGGAACAACAGAAACAGAAAAGAATTATCATTCAAGCAAATTAGAATTAATGGCTATAGTTTGGACTTTGACACGACTTCGACAATTTTTAATTGGAATCCGACTTACGGTAATTACAGACTGCCAAGCTTTAGTTTATTTAAACGCGAAGAAAACTTCAAATCCTCAGATAGCAAGGTGGAGTAATCTGATCCAGGAATACAATCTTGAAATAAAGCACAGACAAGGTAAAAAATGAGTCACATAGATGTATTGAGCCGATCGCCAGTTGTCAGCCAGAAGAAACTTTAGACTCTATAATTGAAAACAACTTTGAAGTTTGTTTAACGCTAACGATAGATGAACAAATTCTTATGATTCAGCATTCAGATCCAGAATTACGCAAATTATAGACGTTTTAAAGAAAAAGATATATGATAGACGAATGCAGAGAAAATATGTAACTGAAAATTACGTCTTGAAGAATAATCGATTGTTTCGTAAAGTGAAAGATCAGGAAAGGGAGAAATTGTTATATGTCATACCTAAATCGATGAGAAAAGGTATTGTAGTAAAATTTCACGATCTTTTGGGACATTTTTCAGGAGACAGAACTGTTGCCAAAATCAGGAATCATACTGGTTTAAAGGAATGAAACGATATGTTATGCGCTCACATTTCGATGTGTTTCGAATGCCTAGTAAATAAAATGCCTAGTGGTAAGAAAACAAGGAGTACTGCATCCAATTAAACCTGGTAGAAGACCTTTTGCAATTATACATATAGATCATTTAGGACCATTCGTAAAAAGTTCAAGAGGAAATACAGAATTATTTGTAATAATTGATAATTTTACGAGATTTACACGCTTATATCCTATGAAAAGTACTACAACCAAGTATGTGTTAGTTGCATTGAAGAGTTTTGTGGATGATTTTGGGTTACCAGAAAAAATTATCAGTGATAGAGGAACATGTTTCACAGCGAAGGAATTGCGAGAGTACTGTCAAAATAATGGAATCAGTCATACACTCAATTCAACTCAACATCCAAGTGGTAATGGAATGGTGGAAAGAGCAAGTCGAACAATTTTGGCTACGATTAAAACGAGTATGGAAAATCCGAATCAGAGAGACTGGGACAAAAAGATTAAGAAATGCGAAAGAAATTTAAACAATATGATAAATAAGACTACAAATAAAACTCCTTTCGAAATGCTTCACGGTTATTCACCAAAACTTAATCAACGGATTGATGAGGATGATTACAGATGAAGACGCAAATGAATGGGAGAATCCAGCAATCTTGACAGAATGAAGCTAGAAAGAGAATTGAGATATGCAGATGAAATGAAAGCAAATTATGACAGAAGAAAAGTAATTCTTTAACATTCGAACGAGGAGAAATAGTAGTTATGGGAAGAGTACCTAAATCAACTGGAGAATCAACCAAAACACAACAAAAGTATCGAGGACCTTTGGTAGTTACAGAAGTTTTACCAAGTGATACCTATAGAGTGACTCAATTAGAAGAGAAGGTGAAAGGACATTTCTTTAGTACGACAGCTCATGTGAGCCAAATAAAGTCATGGCAGTGTCAAGCTGAATCAGAAGAAGACGATGATGATGGTGATGACATTAGTGTTACTGAGGATAACGATAACAACACGCCGCATATTACTAAAACTAGGACACGGAAAAAGAATAGAAAACGACGGTGAATCTATATGACAGCTAAAGACTTTCGAACTATAAACATTAATATTACAGATTTAATTTTTTTAAATATAAGTTCTTAATGTTCCGAGGTCGTAACTAAGTCAGGATGCCCGAATGTAAACGCAACGTATTAATTTTATTTAAAATGTATTTCCCGATTGGCAACAACAGTTTTTTTCAGAACGATAATATTTTTTGAACTGTAATGTTTTTGAGCAGTAATGTTGACGGTAATGTTTCTGAATAAAGCAAGTATTTAACAATTAATGTTTGACGGAATGTGTTTTTAATAAAGGAACTAATTAAATGCTAACATTACTAAAGTAGCTAGGGCAGCAATGGTAAGTGTATCCGTAGTAAAGAAATGTAACTGTTTATAGTTATCCACGAGCCGATGTGTCGGGGAGCCGACGTGTCTATTAGCACAGTAATGGACAGTGCACATATAATACTGCAGATGTAACGTGGCGTGTATTGAGCACACCTCTGTTAAGCGTCTTACAACTGTGAAGTCTCTAATGGTTGCAGGGCCAGGGTAATACCCGAGTAGTCACAGAAAGCCGTCCGGGTGCCCTGTCCTGCTGTCACTGTCACCTGTACTAAACATAACGAAAACCTCACTTGGATTCCTCACTTGCAAGCCCAAAGGGTCAAAGCCACAAGAATAGCAACTAGAATTAAAAATATGCAGGGCAAAGATTGGGGTTTACGACCCCACATCCTCAAGACTATTTATAAGACGGTAGTGGAAAAAATAGTTTTGTATGGGGCAGCTATCTGGGCCCTATTCATGACTGCGAGGAAATTGAATTTACTTAATAGCATCCAACGACCTTTCGTCCTTGCTATCAAGAAAACATACAGGACAACGGCCACAGCAGCGGCAGCGGCTTTAACTGGACTTACTCCTCTGTCAATAGCCGCACTACAAGAGGCAACTGTCTCTACTATCATGCTTCTTAGGAAGTCAGCCTCATTTAGGGGAACTACATTTGTACCATCAGACTTTGAGAACAAAAATTCTCAGCTCAAAGTTCATCCCGCTAGTTATGGGTTGGGCATTCGTGCCCATACCTCTATGTCTCAGGATTTACGGGTAAGAGACACAGGCGGTGCAAATACCATCAGCATATTTACTGATGGCTCAAAACTCAACGAAGAGGCAGGCTGCGCTTTTATTTCTCATTATCGTGATAAAGTCTTAGAAACATGGAAAGGATACCTTGGACTTAATAGATCGGTATTCCAAGCTGAAGCAGTAGCATTGCACCAGGCTATAACAGCAGCTATGAAGTTTGTTGACCAAGAAGTTTGTATTTTCTCAGATAGTCAGTCCGCAATCTTCGCTCTTCGTGATCCATTCCATCCATCACCAATCATAGCAGATATACAATGCCTGCTCAAAGAAAATACGCATGACTGCAACATCCAGATTTTATGGATTAAAGCGCACATGTGCCACAGGGACAATGAGGATGCAGACACTCTTGCAAAGGAAGCTGCAAAGAATATCGGTGCGCAAGATGTCCAGATCCCGCTTCCCAAATCTTATCTGAAGCGAGTCTGTCGCATTAAATCGCAGCAACAATGGCAAGAGGAATGGGACTCTATATCGCAAGGCCGTAGAACCCATGACTTTGTCCATAGAGTTTTCCAAGATCGACTCATCTCAGCCCCTTTTCTTTCCCGTTTCATTACAGGCCACGGACCATTTCCCCAATATTTCTATCAAAGGGGAATATCAACAACTGATCATTGTGTCTGTAATGAAATAGGTACACCTGATCATTACGTTACGTCTTGCCCTCTCACGGTAGAATGGCACATGAGGCTTCCTGATACTGACATTGCTTATAAACGCTTCTTCATTAAGCAGCCAGCCTATCTCAAGAAGCTCAAACGCATTATGAACAAACTTGAAGCACTGGGACTAGAATTATGCAGCCCACAATAACAGACTTAAATTTCGCAGAGATTCAAAGCACACTGGTTTCCAGTGGCCTCTGCAAGAAGCCCATCTTGATTCAGTACGCAGAGTAACATTAGGCTGAGAACACGAAAACCAAATGTAAATATGATTTAATATTATCCAAATGTAAATAGTTTAATTATGTATATTTGTAATGAGCATATTAATGCATGGGTGCAATATTGTAAGCATGTGCATTTTATAAATAGAATATTGTGCAGCGTATTGTGAATAATGTATTGTACAGCACACTGTGTATAGTACCTTGGTAAAACGTGTAAGTGCTGGTAGCATGCAGAGCTATGCTTTGAGCCGCAGGAAGCATAATAATTATATCTGTAGTACTACAATTTAATGTATTCAAGAGCACAGAATGTAAATATTATAGTAGTAATTATTATAGGGAGTTATATGTATGTAAATATTATTGCATTCTGTAAATTTTAATGCACTGTGTGATTTATATATAGTAGTGTGTTAACGTGCATATTGTTAAATGTATAGTGCATGGTAAATACGTTATTTAATGTATCTAACACATGTAATTGTTTAACTGCAATTAATTTAATCTATAATTTTTTCCCTCAATGTGTATTTCTAACAGTGTTTTTTATAAGCTTTTTGTATTAAGAATATGTTGTATATAACAAAGAGTTACTACCATTGCCTATATTATTTAATCAAGAGTAATGTTCAATGTAATATGTAGCCAATACACACAGTGCTTTAAGTGTAGAAATGAGTTTTGTAATGTGGCCTATATATAGTGCAGCGTTCAATGTAATATGTATTATAAAAATTTTAGTGTATTGAGTGTTTTATGTATAGCAGTATGTTAAGCTGCAATGTAACCAGTAGAATATTTAATTACAAAGTTGTTTTTGGTATGTTTTAAGAATACAGTAAAATTTATGCCACAGTTAACTTTTAACATGTTATTTAATCAAAAGTAATATGGGCTGTACTATGTCCTTAAATCTGTATTTTGTATATTATAAGTACAGCACAAAGTAAACAAAGAAAATTTCTTTGTGCAAAATGTGTAATTTGTTTGTAATGTGCAATTTTGCTCTTTATTTAAGAGCTCTTAATTTATTTATCTGTTGTATCAAGTTATTTATTTAAGTCTGTCTCATATAATAATTAATAATATAATTATGTACTATGTAATCCAGTTATGTCTTATTTAAACAATTACATTGTTCAGAATCTATGTTGAATTGTCAAGAATAATGTTCAGCGTAATATGTTGCAAAGTATAGTGTATTAAGTGTAGCATTGAGTTGTAAATGTGCCTTAAGTACAGTGCAATGATCAACGCAATGCATATTATGAAATGTTTATTGTAGCGAGTATGTGTAGCAATGTGTTAACATGCGATGTAGCCAGGAAAATGTTTAATTTTGCTTGCAGAAAAATCTATATTTTGCTCTTGTATGGCCATGTACTTTGCCCTTGTATTGTTTTCGGAGTTTAGCTTCAGTTAGTTGAGGGATCCGGACGATACCCGACTAGTCTATGTAAGCCGTCCGGTTGTCCGGACCTGCTCTCACCTGTCACCACCTGTACTAAACATAATAAAACATGTTTTTCTCACTGTTTGCGTCCTTCCTCTTTTGCGTTTTGTGTCGTCACCACCGCGTCAGGAAAGCATTTCCGACCATGCATTGTTATGTGATTTCCCATCGTCTGGATGTACTCTGTGTCTCCTTAAATTTTGTCACCGCTGTACTAATACACCCTGTATGCACTTCTCTGAAACTGCATGTCTTTAATAAATTAATGTTATACATTTTTGTTTTAATTCAGCTGGATTATTTATAAAACGGAAATCTTTTCATATCCTTTGGAGTATTCCAAAGTTAAAATTAAAAATCATAATCTCTATTTATTATATTTTCATAATTAATTGAATAGCTATTTCAAATAGCTATTCAATTAGCTAGAAATCTTAAAGACCGTTGGAATTACTAGCAGTCTATACAAAGAAGCCCTTGAAGCAGGTTTGGACAAACGGAATCCAAAAAAATGATTGTGCCAATAAAAGATTTAGAATCTACCTCTAGAGAATTCACAGGGCAGAAGAAAATAGAAACTAACGGATGGTTTTGCAGAGAATGTGAAACGGCAGAATGTAAAGACATGATACAGTATATATCGTGCAAAACATGCTACCACTGTGAATGTGTGGGTGTTGGAGTGAAAAGGAAGAAATTCATTTGTGCAGTCTGCATCCAATAGATTTAACCATGTTTATAATCGACCATTATCATTTTTATTTTATGATATTCCATTTCTTTTTATACTTGAGTAGCATGCTTTACTTTTATAATCCCACGCTAAGATATCAGAACATACTATTTTATTTTATTGTTCAATTTGGAAAACTTGTTTACTTAATTGGAACATTTGCAACCAAACGTATTTTTGTTCATAATTTTGTTTATAATTCACGTAACACAGCATAGAAATAGTATTATGTTCCTGATGGCTAATAAATCTTATAGAAAAATCTCAAAGATTAATTCTATTTTGGGAAAAGTTATAGTCTTTTTTGAAAAGTTAGAGGGTTTTTTTTTCTCCAAATAGCTAATTTTATAGCTATTTGCTAACCTGGAGCAAATGGCTTTGGCTTCCCTTTATCCCGGCTGCTTTTCATATTATGTTTAACCGAAAAGTTTCGTATTCTAAAAATTAATGTAATTTAATACTCTTCCACAATTTTTGCAATCCCACACGAAACGCTATTTATAAACACTAAATTTATTCAACTTTTATTTAAAGCTAATTTCAGTTTTAAAGTACCAAGACATTTCATTGATGCTACTTTCTAACAATAACAAAAGCTACAAAGGAAAACCTTAAACAGTTTAAAATCTTGAAGGGTAATTTCTCTCTCCTTCCCGCATGCCTTCGTGATGTAGTTGGAAACATATTCGATGCGTATTTGAATATGAGGTCCATCTTCGAGTCCTGACGAGGGGATTGCACACTTTTTCCGTTTCCTGCCTCAAAATAACCTAATGATTCTACAGTGGCTTTTAACTAAAAGATACTGGACGATAATTCATAAACACCAGGATTTGGCGATTGGATCTTCTAACCCCCAGTCGCCCTTTAAAAGGGGGAAGTATATAAGCTATTTCCTCCCTCCTTTCCGCATGCCTTCGTTGTGTAATCGGAAGCATTCTCGGAAGCAGGAAGGAGAAGACCAAGGTTCGAGTCCCGGCGAGGGCACTACACACTTTTTATTTCTCTTGCTTCAAAATAACCTAATGGCTCTACAATCTCATGACAGTAAATCTTGCATCAGAGGAGAAAATAAGGTTTTCACCGTTGTCACAATAATTCCCCATTCTTTTCGGCTAATATTACTCAAAATTATTTTGTAGTTTTCAAAATATATTTTCATAAAACTTTCGACATGTAACAAAATCCGCTTATTTATAATATTAATTCTAATACCCAACACTCACGCCTGGGTACTGAGCATAGGGAATTTCTAATACGTGAAACTAATTTATTTCTTTCCACTTTGCTCAATGGTCCGTAGTATTCTTACATATCCTTAGCATTTAACGCTGAAATTATGAATCCCTTAAGAATAATTACTTGCTCCTGGAAATGATAGAATCAAAATGTGTTATTTATTAAAATTATTTTAATAAATATTTCGGCAGACGAGAGTTTCCCATTTATTAGTAGAAGAAAAGTTTCTTTATTTAACGTAACTTTCATATCATTCGACTTTATATTTTTATTAACTTGCTTTTAGATACATCATTGACGTTATATGTAGCATCCTATTTCAAATCAATGTTGTTTATTAAGCGTATATACTTAAATTAAGAAAGAGATAAAAAAAAAAAGATTTTATTTATGATAGTGTAAGATATTTTCCCCTCCTTTCTGCAGACATTCGTAATGTAAATGGCAGCAGACTCGAAGCTTATTCGAGAGGTCCAGGTTCGGTCCTCCAGGTCTTGATTCAAAAAATACCTCATGACTCTACAAGGGTCGCCTGAACTAAAAGGTGTATATAACGATAATTCGGCATGGTGGTGGACGATAATTCAGCACCACCAGGATTTCGCAATTGTTTCCTGTAACTCCCATTCGCCCTTTAAAAAGGGGAGTATATAACGTATTTGTTCTCTCCTTTTCGCATTACTTAGTAGTGTAATTAGATGAATACTCGAGGCGGAGAGGGCATAGCACATTTTTGCATGTCTCTCGACGTCAAAAAAATAACCTAATAAATCTACATTTTTTTTCTGAAAATATTTTAAATAAAATTATTTTAAATTTTTCTTCTATCTTTCTCAATACTTTCCGAAGACGTTTTGGTTAAATATTGAAATTCTATTAAATTTCAGAAATTATGTATTATAAGATGTGACGTGTAGTGTTCACTTTCACCATTAGGGCTTTTGACGATTTTATAATTTTTTTAGGTTTAAGTTTAAAATATCTTTCGAATGCATTTCATTTAAATGTTCCTTAGTTTACTTTCCGTGCGTTTCCACTTCTGTAACATGAGTACGTGACAGTTTTCCTTAGAAAGCCCTCCACGAAGAAATTCCTCTCCTTAGATAAATAACTCTTTTGTCCTTTTCCGTATGCAATTAACATAATCTAATGCAATTTTTCAGTATTTGAAACCTCAATTCAATGGACGTCACTGATGTCAAATACTCTGTCATCGACAGGAATTGCCTTAATATGCTATTATTCTCTATATACTAATCCACTCAATAATGTTTTATGCACACAACGTTGATACTATATCTAACGTTGGAAACAGTTCCATAGTAATAGCAGATCTCAGTTCTCTCAGTTCGAAAGATTTCCAGTGGAATTCTCGTTCAATTAATGGAAATGCAACTCCCTTGCATGCCTATGCAAATAATAACTGTCTCAATATCCTTGAACCACTTAAACTCACTCATCTCAATATCCGTGGAGAGATGGACGTCTTGAGCATT